CTGAGCTACATTGCTAGCCCCTTAAAACAGTTTTTTAAAAAATTCTGAAATAAGATTTTGCTAAATCACTAATATTCAGTGTGGACTTGAACTTGTAATCCTCCTGCCTCAGCCTCCCAGAGTGCTGGGGTTATAGGCTCCAAACCCACCCATAAGATCTGTCTTGTTAATGCAAAGAAAAATAGCTCAGATGGACATATGATGGGAGGATGACTGTATATCATGCCGAAATATCCAATCAGGCATCCCAGACATTTGCTTCTGCAGTTTACCACGTAGAAACACGTATTTATGACCCGAAGCCCAAGTGGATATTCCAAAATGCTGGGGAGGTTTTCTAGCTATAAATATGTAAGTGAGAGAGGATGTGTCAAATGATGCCAAACTGTTGCATTTCAAACAATATCATTTTAAATAAAGATCCTTTCCTTGATAGCGCAAGCGTGAAGAATGCATGGCTGATAAGACAGAGGATAAAACAGGCAACAGTTTATCTCCGAGGATGTGTCCATTCCCACAGGATGTGGGGGAAATTCCTGAAACTTCTAGGGAAAGAGATAAAACAATGCGTCCTCCACTTTGATGGATAGGATGCTAACGTTTTCTCTTCCTGAGCACCCATTCCTTAGGAAACAGGAGCAGAAGGTAACCGGTTCAGTTTCTCATGAAGTTACTACCTCCCACTGCTGACCTCCAGCGGCTCTGGAAGTTTACGTTTGCTTTGCTTACCAGCTTGCAGAGGAAATCCACTGCCCCGAGTGTGGAAAAGGCCTCAAGAACTCTATGTGGTTTCCCAGTGCTGTACTAGCATGCTCCTGCATTCCCGTGTGCACCACTCATACACATGTGTGCCCTCACACGCATGCAGAGCAACGCAGACCCCTGACCTCTGACGTACACTGCAGACACACACACACACACACACACACACACACACACACACACACACACACACACACACACACACACACACACACACACACACACACACACACACACACACACACACACACACACACACACACGTGGGGCCGCCTGGCTCCAACACACATTAGTTAGAGGAGGAAGGAATGTTCAGTCTCGTGGTTATATTACGTCAACTGTCTGGCACGAGAATGAACATTTTGCAAGAAGGAAACGAAACACAGGGTCAGCACCTGGCTTTGCAGGAAGGAGGTAGCTCTGGGGAGCTGGGACTGGGTCTGTTTCATTGTTTTGGGAGGTGAAGGAGCTGCCAGGCAGAGCACCGCAGTAACTTCCCTACTGGGCACCCAATTCCCTCGCCTTCTGCCCTGGGCTCCTGTGGCTCCATTTTCAAGGACCAGAGGGGCAGCCGGAGAGGCAACTTCTTTGAGATTTTCTGAGCCACCTTTGCTGCCAGAGCAACCAATTCCGAGCAGCGTCCTTGTAGGGAGATGACCCCAGTGCTGGTATTTAGAAAGTGTAAACGATGAGAATCAGACAACTTTGTCAGCCGCAAGCCTGGGAATCTTGATGTCTCTTCACTCACCATTTTGCCTGCTTGTAACAGTGCAATATTCAAACAAAAAAGAGTCACTATAAATACCGACTTATACCGTGGTAATATTTTCCGCTTATAAAAATGTGAAAAAATGTGTGTATAGGTGTACTGCAAATAATCCTTTGCAATAAAAGCACTGGTCTGTATTATTTTATTTCAGTTAGGCCCACGTGAAGTCATCTGTTTTAAAAATCAGAGTTGCATTAAATATCAAAAAATAATACAGTATGGTTTTTCACAACCCAACCATGAAGTTACATTAGTAGCCAAAACAATGTGCCAAAAGCACACTAGAGTACTCTTCTATTGTGAAAGCCTTTCATGTACAATAAGAGGCATTTTTCCTGTTCTTTTGGCTCGTGAAACAATGTCTATTGTGCGGTAAGAAATTCAGATAGTTTTCAAGAACACTTCTGCATTACCACACCATTACCTTTCCTGGGTGGGTTCAGGCCAAAATTGCCTTTATGGATTCACACACACACACATCACATCTGCAGAGAAGTGGATTCCCAAAGCACAGCATTTCTGGGGGGAATTATGGACTCAGAAAGTGGCTAATGGACCAGTAATGCTTTCGTACTTTGAGATTTATTCCCTCTGATTTCTTATCAAATTCTTTATGCAATAAAGTGGAAGAAAGGAAGGAACAGAAAATAATCATAAAAGGAAATAAAATTTGAGATGTCTCTTTTTTTAAATTAAGAACTAGGAGGTGACCCTTTTGCAAAGCATCCAGGAACTGTGTCCTTCAGCCTGTAGCCAGGCAAGCAGGGAGTCCCTGCAGACAGGCACAAGGGCGTGTAGATGCTGACACCCATTCCCTGTCTCTGCGAGGCCAGCACTATGGCCTTTGGTCTCCGAGCTCCGAGCTCCCTCTGGTGTGTGGCCCGCTTCGTGAACTTCCTGAGGGGACTAACTGGGAGCGTGGCAACAGCCTAGAACAGTGCCTGCCACACAGCAAGCTCTGTGCCCTCAGGGACCACCAGGGCGGAAGTGCTCGCACAGTAGGCGCTTTCCTGGAGGAGAAGGGAGCTCTGTGCCTTCAGTTCTCAGACAAATGCTCATCCCCAGGCCGTCGGCGACTGGTAAGACACCAGATTTACAGCCTGTTGCTGTGGCTTGATTTGCAAAGAAAGAAACGTGATTATTTTGAAGGTTTTGCTGTTCTCCATCCTCGTGAACCGAGCTTGTGCTCCAGAGTCTCCCTGCAGCGGCCCGGACTCTGGAGTCGCCACCACGGCCCTGTGTTGAAGCCTCGGTCCCCGTGGTGCCACTGGGAGGTGGTGGACCCGAGGGGTGAGAGGCTCCTGGGAGGGGACCATGTGAGCCTGGCCCCTTCTCTCCTCTTCTGCTTCCTGCCCAGGAGGTGAGAACTTCCTCTCTGCTGTGTGCTCTGTCAGGGTGTTCTGGGGCAAGACCCTGAGAAATGGGACCGGGTACCTGTGGACGGAAGCTCCGAAAGTCTTAGCCAGGTAAGCTGATGCTCTGGGCATTTTGTTGTAGTGATGGAAAGCCGTCACATGCCCATGTGCCGAAGCAACAGGGCAACCCTGGTGCCTGCTGCCTTACCACAAGCCCAGCACTGGCTATGGGGGAGTGGGGACATTGCTGATGGCTGAGTCTTTGTCTTCTGCAAAGACAGAAACCGACTTTCTCCATACCCTGCTGGTCATGATTTTCACCATGGGCTTTCTCGATCTCTTCTAGACCCAAATGAATTACATATGCTCTATGTAATGTTAAGCTCAGTCTACCTGAATTCGCACTCCAGCCCACATTACTCTGTCTTCCACCCAGTCTGTGGATGAGAGGCAGACCTTTGGGTGTCTTGTGACAAGAGAATGGATTTAGTGTTTCTATGGTTTCATGCACTGTTTTTGTCACTTGTTATGTCATTAATAAGCCACCGATGATTCTAGCTGAATGAGCTAGAACTGTGCAGGAACAACAGAAAATGTTAGTGCGCAATCAGGCTGTAGCTAACTGAATCAACAATGGTAAGCGCATCTCACAATACAATTCTTTCTTCACAGTTGATGATGGAGACTGGGTGTGGCTCAGGTGAGCCTAGCGGTGGAGCTAAACCCATCTCGGTTCTGATCCCTTTCTAACTGGTCAAACTTCCAACAAGCTGTGTGATTCCAGAGCAACTTAACTTTATATATATAGTATATATATTGCTTTTTATATATAGTATATATTGCTTTATATATATAGTATATATTGCTATATATATATATATATATACAGTATATATATTGCTATGCACTAAGAAAATAATGGCTTATTATTTACATTGTTATTGTGAGCTCAAGAGATACTCATAAATGAGATCTGTACTTCCTTACTGACCATTGGTCTCAAATTCAGCTGTAGGGACAGTTTTATGTCTTCACTATACTGAAGATGAGCTATTGATAGCTAAAAATGAAAAATCCTAGAAATGGACAGTGATGGCCACCGAGAATAGTTTTTAGAAGAAATATTTGCTTTTGATGAAGTGTTTAGGGTGCTCCGATAAATCAAGGGCTCTGGGAAGTGACGAGACAGACTGAGTGAATATGAAAACGAGGAAACACCTAGAGCAAAGATTTAATTTACACAAGGTCTGTGCAACTGACCTGTACCCAGAGATCCACAGGGACGAAGATGAAAACTGGAGCAAAGCAATGGGAGGGTCACTTTGAGAGCACAGCCTCGGGGCGCTGGGAGCCAAGGGGCACGAGCCAGCACGCTGTGACCCTGATGCCCACACTCAGTTCCTTGATCCCAGGGAAACTGTGTGTTCTCACTGGAGCCAAGAACAGAGTGTTATCACCACCAACATCGACAGCAGCAGACACCAGACATTACTAGTCAATACCGGCAGACGTTACTATTTGCCAAACGCCCGCTGAGTGTCAAGTGAGAAGAAAGCACTTGGCAGAAACAGTCAGCTCTCCAGGCCTCTGTGTCTGCAGGTTTTACATCTGCAGATGCAACCAACTACTGATTGAAAATGGTCGGAAAAGAATGACACCTGCGCTGAACATGTACCGACTTTTTTCTTGTCACCGTTCTCTACATAATACAGGATAACAGCATAGCATTTGCACTGTATCAGAGACAAATCATCTGGATTTAAATGACGTGGCAGGATGCAGGTGGGCTAGCTGCAGATTCTGTGACATTCGAGAGAGTGTCCTGGGCATCCACACAGCGTGGTACCTGTGGGAAATCCCGGAGCCAATGCCGCCGGGTGCTGAGGAGCCCCGTGCCCCCCGTGTGGTGGCCGTCAGTGTCATCAGTCCCCGTGCAGATGGGCGCACACGAGTTGGAGGTCAAGAAGCTTGCCCAGCGCAGGCCTCTGTGACAGAGCCTGTCATCCCAGTCGCATGCAGTGGGTCCCCGAGACACTCACTGCCTGTGACGCTGCGGCTACCTCGGTAAGGACACGTTGGGCTCACACAGGGAGGCGTCCCTCAGAACACAGCCCCACACTCGGCCTGAACTCCACCAAGGCAAAAACCACACTGAGAAGCTGGGTTTCTGGAGCCTTGTGCATCCCCTGGGATGCTCTCCGGCCTTAGCGATTCTAGCACAGTCCATGCAGGATGGGGGGATTCGCACATCAGCCTCACTTCTGCTCGTTGTTTTGCCTCCATTTTGAGCAAAGTAAGCATCTCGAGCAATTAAGTCTCCACACCTTCATGCATCCTTTTTGTCATTCTAACCGCTTTTTGTCCATTAAAAGTAAACATTTTCAAACAAAAACCAAGCGATACTAACAATAGGATGGAAAACTTTGAACTTTTGGAGAAATGATGCCACTGGCTTTTATGATGCCACACATTTCTTCAGTTATGATGAACAGATAAGTCTATAAATTAAATAGTATCTTTTAAAAGATTCATTGTTACAAAAGCAACACACTGCTTTACCTCTGACTCTTTAGCTTATATATTGGTCATTTTTTTTCATGTATGCTGAATACCACTCAGTACCACATAATGTTGGTGGCCAGCAACAGAAAGTTCTTAAAGATAAGACCATATAACAGAACAGAGATATATATACAAACAACGTTTACAATTCCATGTGCTAAATATCCATAAAAAGACTACGGGTGACCAGAGGGCCCAAACTAACTTGGGGTCAACATGTTACGGGAAGGATTTTTCGAACCAGGTAAGGTTGGGATTTCCAGTGTAGGGATCAAAGAAATAAAAGGTACCAACAAGATAAGACCACATTAGTTTCTTTGGTATCAGTAAAAAAAACTGAGGCAGATCAGCTCAAATAGGAAAGGTTCAAGGGCACAGTGCTGGCTTCTGCTTGGGACAGGGAATCCAATCTCCCTGGCAGGAGAATGCATGCAAGGAGAGATCACCTGAGACAGGAGGCCAGAGAGAGGAGGGCACTTTCCCAATATCCTGCTCTCAGAGAGTGGCTCAGGGTCCCATGAGGACCACCTCAGTCCCGCAGGAAGGCAGCACCCAGTGTGACCTGAGGACCTTACACTGGCCTCCACACGGACAGCCCAAGGGCCAAGCTGCCACTCTGAGAGCCCTCAGGGAAGACACTGACTCTGTTCTCCTAGGAGACCAGAGCACAGGTCCCATGGATGATCTGGGTGATGGAGATGAAAGAGAGGAAGCATAACGAGCTCCTGTGCATGTGAAGTTAGGGCGCATGGTCTTTTCCACAATGGCACATTGCTTTGAAATAACAAGGTCTCTAAAATCCCATCTCCACGAGGAAGAACAAGACTGGAGATAGGTTTGGAGGACAGAGAGGTTAAGTAGACACCCTGAGCACAGAGCTCCTCAGCTTGGGCACTGGCGAGCTGCATTTCTGAAGAGGCGAGGTGCTGACACGCTCGGGGTGTGGCTTTAGTCTCAGCCCTGTGTCTGTGCAGCTCAGTGAGTTAGACACCAGAGCACTTCGGACTGATTGTCCCGACAGAGTGACCTGTTCATAGTTCAGGGACAGTGGAACCTGATTTATAGGGGCGACCAGACAATGGGGTTTCTGCGTTGCCTTTGGAAGGCAGCTCAGGAGTCTGAAATGTAGTTTGAGGCTAGGAAATTGCCTATGCATCGTGTGCCTCCAGAGTCAGGCTTTCACGGACAGGGCCTTTGCTTATCCCATGTTGCACGTGCTGATCTCAGAAAACACAAAACCGTCCTCGCTAGGACCCAAAGGAGGCAGCTGGTTCCCCAGCACACACTGAGTGACATCCAGGAGGGGACGGGGAAAGATTAAAGCCTCACAAAATGGAGGAAGATACATGAAACTTATAATTCAGGCAAAGGGGGTGTGGATCGTCCCTCTTTATGACTGAGAGGCCAAGATGTCTGACTTAGTGACTTCCAGTCCATTCTTCCTGTAAGTCCACACTGAACTCTGTGAAATTCTCCCTCACTCTTAAAATTAGAATATTTCCCCTCCTTGTTCACCCCGATGTGTGACAACAGGCACATCAGGCTTCTGCTTTTGCGTTATAGTGTTTCTTAGTTATGAGCTAAGAGTGATTTTTCTCCATTCACCTCAAAGGCATTCATCAGAACATCAGTGATAAATCTTATTCGATTTGAAGTTAAGAGCATCTTGACCAGCAGAAGGGAGAGTGACCCAAAGGTAAATTTGCAGCCACGATCTCTTCTATATTAACATTTTCTTCTTTATCCATTCGTAAAACACAAAGTTAATTGCCTGGAAATGCTGGCGGTATTTCTAACTTTTTCTTTGCAGAGTGTTATGCGAAGACTCTTTTCATCATGTCCTAACTATAATTTGAGCGTCCCAGCAGCAAATCTCTCTGATTACACTCAGGCGCCTAAGCCTTTCACATTAAATGCAGTGATAACCAACCAAGTGTGAGGGACTTGTCCTTTAATCTATTCTACCCTGTCTCTGCCTTCTTTCCTTGGCATTTGTTCCTAGACAATTTAGGGGTTTCCATAGTACAGTATATGTATTATTTTAGCTTTGGCCCCAACACCTCTGAGGTTGCATAACTTTACTCTCACTTGAGGTTACACTGCAGATTTCCTGCTTGCTTCAACACCGGAAACCAGGTTCGAAATATCTGGCTTTTGGGACACGGAGCCATTCCTTTAAAAAACAAACACAAGCTACTTTACTAAAAGGCCAGTTTCATATTCCTAGGAAACTTCCACTTGGGATAGAAATCTTTTACTAGGAAAAAACAAGTTGTCTTCAGGGTTTCTCATTTCACTTGTGAAATACAGAACAAGTAAGGATTTTTCATTCAGTAACTTTTTTCGTAGGTCAGAGAACTTCTCAAGTGAGTGGTTACATAAAAGGAAGAAACATCTAAGTGGTGGAGAGTTGGAGTCTCGGCATGGAAAACCAGTGAAGCGATTTCTCAAGAAACTTTTCTAAAGAAAGCAGGGAACCACCGCACAGGACAACATCCTGGCCCCATGTGCCCCATGCTATTCTCCAGCCCAACACGAAGTGGTGCCCGCCTCCCTTCCCCGGACACAGGAGGGATTAGAAAAGCAAGTTTCTGTCCACTCCCAAGAAGTCAATCGAGACAATCCGGTTCTCCACTTCCTCTGGCCTCCGGGGAAGCAGCGACCCCTCCCCTCAGTGCACCCAGAGGTGCAGAGCAGCAAAATGATCATTACAGGAGCAGCTGACTTTTCAAGTCCATCTCTCCCCTTTGCTGGCCTGGTCTGCTGTGTGATGGTGAAATGGGAGATAGTCTCAAAAGGTTAATCTTGGAAATTTGAACTGTTTCAGGATTTATGTAAAGAGAACGGAACTTGAAAGAGAGATCTGTTCTTTCTAAACTTATCTGCTATAATTGGCTAAGGAAACTGTCCTTCCTTTCAAGAAAATGACAGTATGAACTTCCGGAGAGACTGTGATTGAGTGGGTCCCCACCTGTCTTGCCTTGGGTCTCCTCACTTTTCCAGGACTCCGCTTCTGTGGTCACATGATCCCCCAACATTTCCGGAAGTTCCACTTGCCCCAGGCTGTGGGGGAAAACAATCTCCTGACATCACTTCTGGCCAGTAACCACAGCTGGCTCTAGCTGACCACCAGCTCACATACGTTCTTTATAAATTAAAAGCTGTGTTAGAGACTTTTTGTGGTGGTGGGTACACTTTGCCGTCTTGACTGCCTCCAATCCATTATTATTATTATTATTATTATTATTATTATTATTATTATTTTGGTACTGGAGACTGAACTTGGGTCCTTGTGCTTGCAAGGCAGGCCACTGAACTGCTGAGCTAAATCCCCGGCCCTCCAATCCATTATTTATAAGCTATCACTACATGTTTTTCTCTGAACAGATTCTGTGCATTAAACTATGCACAGAAGTGGAACTTAAAAGCAGGAAGACAACCGATCATGGAAGTCCTAATGGGGATCCGGGCAGCTGACTGTACAGACCCCAAGTGAGACACTGACCAGGACCCCGAGGGGCAGAGATGACATGTGGCGCATGTCTGCAGATGGACGGGAGGCCAAAGTGCTCTGCCTGAGACCCCGTCTGGAGACCTCATTTGAGTAATTTCTGAGACTCCAGCTCCGGCTGCGCTCCGTGGTGTCAGGCGTCTGAATGACTAAGTCCTGAGCTAAAATACATCTGTGAAGTTATCCATCCCCCTGAATGACCTCAACAAAACTGGGGAAGTCGGGAGAATTAGCCAGTACTGAATTCCATCCTTTAGGAACATCCAGCTCCCCACTCTTTCTAAGGTGTGATGCAAATTTACCTCTTATTTGGGATAGTAGAGGATTATTAGCAGAAACCACAAAAACACGCTATCAAACAAGCATCCTGATGGCATTGAAACATGGGCAGAGATGGTGAACTCTCAGAAATTTATTCATATACCCTTTAGATAAACAAAATTTGAAGGAACTATTTTATTTTCATTAATATTATGAAAAACAATAAAATATCATTTTGGCTTTTTAAAACAACAAGAAAAAATGTACAGGACTTTACAAGGTACACGTTGAAGAGTTTGTTTATCACTGCTTAGAAAATGTATTGTCACAGACCTCTACTATCTTTACTTCCCATAATGTCACCACTGGTTTCCAGAGATGGCAGAGAAATTTTTAGGCTGAAGGCTCACTTCAAGGAGAAATAGGAAAGAAGGAGCTTGCTCTGGGGGAAAGGTGGGGGAGAGAGAGAGAGAGAGAGAGAGAGAG